ATTTGAGAGAGAGAGCCAGGCAAAGAGGGAACATAAGCAGGAGGAGTGGGAGAAGGAGAAGCAGGCTTCCCACCAAGCAGGGAGCCTGCCATGGGGCTCGATCCCAGGACCCTGGGACCATACCCTGAGCGGAAGGCAGATGCTTAATGCCACCCAGGTGCCCCATAGCCCCATCATTTTTAAGTGCACATTTCAGTGGCGTTAAGTACATTCATGGTGCTGGGCTGCCTTCCCCACCATCCTCCCCCAGAACTTTCTTGTTATGCCAAATGGAAACTCTGTACTCATTAAACACAAGTCCCTGTTCCTTTCTGCCCCCCAGCCCCTGAAAAGCACTATTCTCCTTTCTTTCTCTATGAAATTGACTACTCCACATCCCACATCTAGGTGGTGTTTGTCCTTTTGTATCCTTTTGTAAACAGTATTTGTCCTTTTGTGTCTGGCTTATTTCACTCGGCGTGATGTTTTTAAAGTTCCTCCATGCTGTGGTGTGTATCGTGATTTTAAGTTTTAAGGCGGAATAATATACCATTGTATGGACATACCACATTCTGTTTATCCATTCATCTGCTGATGGATACCCGGACTGCTTCTACCTTTTGTCCATTGTGAGTAATGGTGCTGTGAATGTTGGTGTGCCAACTACGTTTGAGCCCCTCAGTTCTTTGGGAGCACATAACTAGAAATGGAAATGCTGGATCTTACAGTGATTCTCTGTTAAACTTCTCAAGGAACCCCCATACCAGTTTCCGTAATGGCTGCACCATTTTGAATTCCCACCATAATGCACATGGGTTCCAATTTCTCCACATCCTTGCCAACACTTGTTTTTCTATTTTTTTGTTTGTTTTTTCCTTTTTTTTTTAAGATTTTATTTATTTATTTGACAGAGATCACAAGTAGGCAGAAAGGCAGGCAGAGAGAGAGGAGGAAACAGGCTCCCCGCTGAGCAGAGAGCCCCATGCGGGACTCAATCCCAGGACCCTGGGATCATGACCTGAGCCAAAGGCAGAGGCCTTAACCCACTGAGCCACCCAGGCACCCCTTTATCCTTTATTTTTTTGTTCAAAATTAATAGCCATCCCAGTGAGCGTGAAGTGGTTATCTCATTGGCTTTTGATTTGTATTTCCCCGATAAGCATCTTTTCATGGACTTACTGGCCATTTGTATGTCTTCCTTGAAGAAATGTCTTTTTGTTGGTTTGTTTGAAGGGATTGCCTTAGTAGAACAAATACGATTTTTTAGAGAAATATCTTTTCTAGTCCTTTGCCCATTTCTGAATCAGGTTATCAGTTATTTTGTTGTTGAGTTATAGGAGTTCTTTTTTTTTTTTTTTAAGGTAGACTCCACACCCAGTGTGGAGCCCAGCGAGGGGCTTGAACTCACAATCCTGAGATCATGACCTCAGCTGAGATCAAGAATCAGATGCTTAACTGACTGAGCCACCCAAGCGCCCCACAGAGTTCTTTTTCTATCTTGGATGTGAATCCCCTATCACATGAAGCCATTTTTTTTTAACATTTTATTTATTTATTTGACAGAGAGAGATCACAAGTAGGCAGAGAGGCAGGCAGAGAGAGAGGAGGAAGCAGGCTCTTCATGGAGCAGAGAGCCCGATGTGGGGCTCGATCCCAGGACCCTGGGACCATGACCCAAGCCGAAGGCAGAGGCTCTAACCCACTGAGCCACCCAGGCGCCCCATGAAGCCATTTTTGAATATTCTTTTCCATTCTGTGGGTTGTCTTTTTACTCTCTTGATAGTGTCCTTTGATGCACAAAAGTTTTTAGTTCAGGTGAAGGCCACCTGATCTATTAACCGTCAAAAAGTTCATCCAACTAAGTTATCCCATCAACAGAATAAGGAAGAAAATAATTGGATTGCCATACAAGATACAGAAAAAGCATGGAGCACATTTTATCCACCATTCCTCATAAAAACTCTCACCTTCATAGGGCAGGGGCCCCTATGAACAGTCTTCTCCCCAGCTGGCTCGTCTCTTTTTATCCACAGTGACAGGGCTGCTTGGCCACTTCCTGGCTGTGTGACTAGACACAGTGACTGTCAGGGCTTGGGGACCTCAGTGGTGCACCAGGGATGAGGACACCATCCATCTCCTGGAAGTGGTGGGAGAGGGTCGCCTGGGACCAGGAAGCAAGGTGCGGGGCACAATCAGGTGCACACCGAGCCTGGCACACAAGGGGCCTCGTGGATAGTGGCGGGCAGCTCTTGAAGTCTACCTGACGGGAGTTCAAGTCTCGGCCACCGCCTCTAACATACTGTCCCGCAGCTGGTGTCTAACCAGCCGAGTCTGCTTCCTGCCTGAAATAAACAGTTCCTTCTCCCAGGGCCGGGAGGAGAGTGCCATGTTCTCCATTTGGGACACACTCAAGGAGCTCATCCTTCTCCTCGTCCTTCTCCCCCACCCCCACCCCCACCCCCGCCCCCAGCCTCCTCCTCCTCCTCCTCCTCCAATATTACTCGACAGTAAAAGGGAAGGACGTACTGACACAAGTCAGAAGCTGGGTGAACCTCAAAAACATTATGGTTACTGAAAGAACAGAGACGCGAAAAGAACACACGTTTATTCACAAATAGCCAAACTGTGAAAAGCGCCCCCATGTCCATCACCAGCCAAATGGATGAAGAGAATGTGGTTCTCTCCACACAATGGGCGAATTCCCAGGCTGAAGAGAAGGAAATCCTAACCCACCCTTTGTGACAATTGGGCCGGAGCTGGAGGACCTTCGGCTAAGCGACATCCACCAGTCCCAGAAGGGCAGGTTCTGCCTGGTTCTACTCCTGTGCGCTCTCTCAACCTCTCCGACGCACAGATGGGGAGAGGAGGGTGATTCCCGGGTGGGGGCTGGGTTGTACGGGGAGTCGCTCAGTGGAGATAAGGTTAGTCATACAAGATGAGTGAGCTCCAGAGGTCGCCCTGCAACACTGTGCCTGAGGGTAACAATACGGGGCACAAGGGGCCGGCTCAGTCCGGGTCCGTGTGACTCTTGATCTCGGCATCATGAGTTCAAGCCCCGCGCTGGGTGTTGAGATTACTTAAACAGATAAATCTTTTTTAAAAATGTGTTAAGAGGGCAGATCTCACGTTAAGTGTTCTTTTTTTAAAAAGATTTTATTTATTTTAGAGAGAGGGGGGAGCACGAGCACAAGTGGGAGGGGAAGAGAGAGAGAAAAATCTCGGCCGACCTGATGGGAATCGCAGAGCCCAGTGTGGGGCTCGATCCCAGACCCTGAGATCACAAGCTGAGCCGAAACCAGGAGTTGGATGCTTAACCCACTGTGCCATCCAGGCGTTCGTCCCATATTAAGTGTTCTTAACACATACACACACACACACACACACGCGCGCGCGCGCGCGCACTCACACACACATGTATTCTATGATCCCACTTACATGAAATGTCCAAAATAGACAAATCTACAAAGACAAAAAGTAGACCAGTGGTCGCCAGGGCCTGAGGGGGATGGGCGGCTAAGGGGTACAGGGTTTCTTTTCGGGGATGCTGACACTGTTCTTAACACTGACTGTGATGATGGTGGTACAACTCGGCAAATATACCAAGAGCGACTGAATCGAACCTTCAAAGGGATGAATGGTCTGGCATGCAGATCCTGTCTCCATAAAGCTGTTTGTAAATGGGGGACCCACATCTGGGAAGAATACTGCCGCACGGAGGTCCACAGGTCCTTCGTGAAATGCCTACAAGACCGCAACCCGTCGTTCATTCTGCCTCTCCTCTGTTGTGCATCAGTGACATTGAAGGTGTCCTCTTAGCAGTGGAAGTGAGGAGGGTGGACCCTGTAGATGGCTCACCTTGGCCTGGGGAAAGAGAGGTTAAGCGCTTCCCCAGAGAGGGGCAGCTTCCTGCCCAAGGTCACACAGCCCAGAGGCTCCAAGAGTCCTGAGTCCCCACCTTCCTGAGTTCACATGTGGGTGAGGTTCCAACGCCAGCCCCAGAGCTGACCGCTGGCTGCCTCCTCCTTCCCACTTCTCAGGGAAACACACACACACACACGCGCACACACACATACACGCGCACGCACATACCCCCCCAGGAAGCATCCATCATAGGCTGTCCAACCAGGCCGGAGGGGTAGGGGTCATCGGGGAGGTGACCTCAAGGTCTCCGTGGGGACCAGAATCCGGCGGGGCTGTGGGTGAGAGGCTGGAATTTTTCCCACCCTGAGATTTTCCTGCATCAACCCAGGAGGGCGCCCTGGATGCCGCCGGCCCTGCCCCCAACCTCCTTCCTCTCTTGACACAGCTTCCCGGCTAAGGATGGATGGAGGGGGGTGGGGTGTGCCAAGGAGGAACCACCAAGCCCAGAAACCAGGGAGAGGCACTTCAGGATTGACGAAATGTGGGACCCTGGCCGAGCGTGGCTGAGGGCCTGCCCCGGAGTCCCGCGCCTGGGGGGCTCGAGGGGTAAAGGGGATGAACTTGCCCGCTTCTGGCCCACGGGGCCTCCCTCAGCCTCCACTGCCCTGTCCAGGAGTTGGACCCCAGCCCAGCCTCGGGCGTGTGAGAAGCCCTTGGCCCTGGGCCCTGCCCCCGGTCCTTCCTCCCCCACACACTGGGGACTCAGCCCTTCCTTGTGTTAAATAGAAACCTCTTTATTCTAAGTATCGTACATTCCTTAATATGTTGGACCGGGGCCAGACCTTGAGGTGAGGGGAAAGGGGGGGCCTGGGATACTTCTGTAGAGCCTTCCAAAACGCCTGCCACCGCACACTGGGCCGGGAGCTGGTGCTGGGAACGAGCTTCATGGCCTTGGGGAAGTCCTTGCTCCCTCCGGCCTGTTTCTCTTCTATTTGGGGGGTTTAGGGGTGGCCAAGACCTCTGAGGACCTTTCCATCCCCCCCCCCACACACACACCGGGGCGGGAGCGGGGCAGTCTGTGGTCCCAGGCAGGGAGTCAAGAGGGAGCCCGTACAGGAGGATGGCTTGTCAGCAGCAAAGATGGGGGGCACTGAGGTGGAGGGCTGGGAGAGTCTCAGCGTTGGGTAGGGGGCCGTGATGGAGACAGAGGCCGAAGTCGGGGCAGACAGGCCAAACCAGGCCTGGCCACCCTGGAGAGGGGAAGGCGGCCCAGGAAGAGAGGGAGGCTGAGGCAGAAAGGTGGGCGGGGCACGGAGATGTCTGAGAAGAAGGCGCGGTCCCGAGGGGGTGACAGGGCTCCCCCCTCAGACAGTTCCAGGTCCCGGGCCACGGCCAGGATCTCCTGGCGTGCTGCTGTGTTATGCAAGCCCCGGATGTCGAGGAGGGCTGCCACGTGCTTCCGCCTGGGGGGAGAGAGGAAGGGACAGGTGCATGGGGTTCTCCGTGAACCTCATCAGGCCCCCATCTGTCCCAGAGCCTGCCTTAGCTCTGGAGCCCCTTTAAAGCCCCCTTCCGGCTTCTTTCCCCATACCAGCAGCCCCTCCCCTGTACCCTCCCCCATCCCAACCCCTAGTCCCTCCCCATTTCTAGTCCTCCCAGACCCTCCTCCTAGCAGCATGCCCCCCAGAACGTCGCTAACCAGCCATTTCCAAATCCTTCCTCTCATCACTGACTCCAGAACCCTCTCCTCTACACCCAGCACAGGCGGCTTCCTAAGCACCCGGTTAGCCTTCAGTCTGCAGCCCCGAATCAGCACACACAGCTTCTGGGCTTCCTTCTGGCCCCTTCACACCTGCTTAAGCTCCGAAGTCAGCAACACCCCCCACTTCATCTTCACTTGCACCTCCAACAGCCCCCCACCACCACTCAGATGCTGCGCAGGAAGGCTCGGCCACATTTCCATCGAACCCTCCTCTCCCCTCTCCCCCGTCCCCAGGCCAGGTCTGGAAGGTTCTCCACCACAGCAGTTCCAGAGCCCGTATCCAAACCTGACCCCAACTCTCTCAACCTAGAGCCCATCCATGACAGCGCACCTTCGTTCCCCTGGGACACGCACCTCACCCTCCCACCCCATCCCCAGTGCTCAACCAAAGTTCCACTCCAGAACTCCAGTTAACCTTGGGGGGGGCGGGGGCGTCACCTCAAACAGAAACTCTGTCTCAAAACTCTGTTTTCCAACCCTTGACCTTAAATCTGACACAACCGAGCCTTCCCTTCATGCCCATCTCTGCAACAGATCGCGGGTCCAGCACCCCAGGACCCTCAACCACATTTTGACTCAAGAGCCTGAACCCAACAGTCATTTCCAGAACTTTCATTTCAGACAGAGCCCTGGGGCCCTCACTACCCTCCTTCAAATGCAGCTCAGGCTCTTCACGTCCCCACATCCCCGGTTTGGAATCACCACGGCTCCAAAATATACTCATCCAAAACTGGCGCTCAAGAGCCTTCCGGCTCAGACAGGCTCCAAAGCTTTGGAGCCACTCCAGAAGCTTGAGAGCTTTCAGACTGAGCTTTGCATTCAAGTGCAGATTCCAAGTCAGAAACCCCTATCCAGGAGAAAGGCTGGGACTCCCACCAACCCCCAAAGACTTCAGGGCTTTGTGTCTCCCCAAGGACAAAGAGCCCCACACCCCAGAGCCAGAACTGTCCATCCGGCTTCGCTTCCAGAATCCTCATCTCCTCAACCCGGGAGCGTAAACCCCGCTGGGGCCTCACTCCCTGGCAGAGTGGAGTTTTGTCTCCGCAAAAGCACAGAGTGTCCTCCAGGCTGAAGAGTCCAGAAGGACTGTCACCACCATCCACCTTGGCGGGGGGGGGGGGGGGGGATGAGGTGGGGGGTGGAGGCAGTGATCAGGTGCATCAGCTGGAGACAGCCTCTCCCGGGGACTCAAGTCCCAGCTTGGCCACTGGCTAGCTGTGGCATTTGGGGTAATCTGCTTAATTCCCACCTGCCTAAGAGGATGCTAAGCACTTAGAACAGTGCTGCCTTTTACTTGCATATTATTTTCTAAAATAACTTCCTTAGGTCCAACATAAGGACTCAAGAAACCAGCATTGGTCTTGTTCCTGCTGTCCGGGTGGATAATGCGGGCAATGCTGGTGTTAACTGAGGATGGAGAATTCCCCCAGCAATCCTGTGAGAAGAGTGCTATTATCCCCCCCTGGGAGAGGCTCGGAGAGGGGAGGGTCCCAGGGAGAGGAAATGGTCCACCAGGATCTGAGCGGCGCCTGCCGCTGCCCCAGTGCGTGTGCGCCCCGCTTGCCCGTGCGTGTCCCCGTGTCCCCCGTGGCTCCCCGGCTGGGCCGGCCCTTCCTGCCGCCGCCGGCCCTGCGCCCCCCCCTGCCCTGGGCTTCCTGTGACTGCCTGTTTGTTTGCGAGCCCTGGTGGCGGCGGCGGCAGGAGAAGGAGGGAAATAGTATTAATAATGGCCTGGTTGCAGCAGGAAACGGCCGTCAGACACGCTCGCCACCTCCCTCCCTCGCCCAAGAGCAGGAAACGCCAGGACGGATGCCAAAGCCGGGAGTCCTCGGCCTGGCGGCGGCGCGGGCAACAAAGGGCCAGGCCGGCGCGGTGGGGGGTGGGGGGCTCTCACCTGATGTCTGGGTAGTCCCGGACCAGCACCCCCACCTCCACCTGGATGCTGGGCGTGTCTTCCAGCTGCAGGACTTCGGCCAAATGGGGCACCACGGCGTCCAGCCACGAGGCCTGGGACTCCTGCAGGGGAAGGCCCCAGACTCACACTCTGGCCCCAGGTCCCCCTTCACGTAAACCGCACCCCTCCTGGCCTCTGTTCTCTCCGTAAAGCCGGGCAGAGGACAGGCCGTGATCAGAGGTTTGGAAGGACCTGGAAGCTTTGGCAATGTGGAGGCAAATCCAGTCTAAACGTATCTATTCCGAGTTTTGCGGATCACGGGGGGCTCGGGACATCTCTCCAAACCTAGTGGTCGTATTCAAAAGGTGACCCTTAGGGGTAACTGGGTTACTTGTGCGAGAGGTCTCCCCCACCTGCCTTTTCCATAAAATGACGCACCCTTCGCGCCCCCCACCCCGCGATTCCAAGTACTACAGACTAGAAAGTCCTGGAAACGCGGATGAAGGAAGCGCTTCCGGTCCTGCTGATTACAAATGGGTGCAAATGAGTCGTTTTAAATTCTTGAATTGGAAACGCCAGGATCATGAGTTTCTGTTGGGTGTTTAGCGTCTCTTTGTGCTCAGAACACTCCCTGTTTTAGGGAGTGCGAGCTCCGTGCCAGGTAGGGTCCTAAGCACTTAGCAGGACCGAACTGACAGAATCCCCAGCCCCAGGCCCAGGGGACACAACGCCGGTTTGCGCCCGGGGGCCAGCTCTCCCCCGGAGCAAGCCAAGTTTTAGGCGTGCAGGGCCAGGATCAAGGTGTCCCTGGGGACTGAGAGTTGGGTGTAAGGCCTTTTTCTAAGCCCCCGCCCCAACTCTCGGGCCCCGGGGTTCTCCGGAGCCCAGGTTCCGCGTAGTTTCGGAGCCCCCCGCCCCCGGGCCGCACTGACCAGCCGCCGGAACAGCCGCTGCAGCTGCGCCGCGTCCTCCCGGAGCCTCCCGGCCACTCGGCTGCGGGTCCGCGCTGAGCGGCAGCGCAAGCGCCCGCGGAGCAGGGGCCGCACGTACTCCACCAGCGCGCGCCGGTGCAGCTCGGCCACCAGCGCCTGCGGACCGAGGGAGACGCGAGGGCTGGTGAGCCGCCGGTGACGCCCTCCCGGCTCTCCTCCCGCCGGGCGCCCACCCCGGGCACCTCGCGGGAAACCTCCCCTGCCCCCAGGGAGCCGCGCCCCCTCGTCGTCCCCAGGCCCTCCCCCCCCACACCAGCCCTCCCGACTCCCAACGGGTGACCACTGTCCCGCTGGATGATACCTTCCTCTGCCCCCTAACCGGCTCGCCGACACACCCTGCCGACTCCCAAAGGATGCCCCGTCCTAGCCCTCTCCCCAGTCTCAGGAGTTCTACCTCCCAGGGGGCCCGGCCCTGTGCGAGCCGCACCCTAGGCCCCAGTACCCGCGCACCTGCGTCCCCGCAGACCCCGCGCAGAGCGCCGCCTATCGCACCCGGAGAGAGCTAGCTGCTCGGCGCCTCGAAGGGGTCTCCCCCGGCGGAGCGCCAGGGCTCCCCACTCTCACGCCCAGCCCTCCCCCCGCCCCCACCACAAACCCGCACACCTGGTAGGGCTCGTCCTGCATCCTGCGCAGTGCCAGGGCCTGAGCGCCCAGCGTGCCCACGATGCCATCCAGGGCCTCCGGGCTGTTCAGCCACTTCCTGCGCATCAGCTTGTTGAAGTAGGGCTGGGGGGGGGGGGCAGTATGGGGGGGATGGTTTTAGCTCTCCTCCCTTCCACCCTCTTTCTCCACTTAGCAGCTCCACAGAGGAGGGCTGGACTTGCAGGGCTGTACTGTGCCCTTCCGGGGCGCGCGGTCCGCGGAGGGAAACAGACCATCCCCCAAAGATGGACCCAGAGTGGTCAGGGCCTGGACGAGGGAATCCAGGAGTTTAGGAAGCCAAGAGCGGGTGCCTGAGTCAGCGCAGAGTCAAGGAGGGCTTCCTGGAGGAGGGGACACCAGAGCTGATTCCAGAGGATGGTGGTAGTTAGCCAGGTGTCGGCTGTGCGAGGGAGTGGCTCCATCAGCCGGAAGAGCCAGTGTGAAGGCCGCTGGGATTTCAGATGGGTTTTCAGGTCAGAGGATCAGAAAGAGGGTCAGTGTGGCTGGCAAGACCATCTATTTTGAGGGTCCCAGTGCAAAATGAAAACAGAAGGCCCTTATTCAAAATTACTAATAACTTCAAGACAGCAAGGGCATGGTCGCACACCAAGCTCGGGCTCTTCCAAGCAGGGGTCCTGTATAACTGCTCGGTTTCACAGACGCCTGAAGTTGGAACAGGGGACAAGGAGATGGAGCTAAGCGGGCGGGTGGGTCTGGAGCACACAGGGCTGTAAGGAGCCCCGGCTTCCTCCTGAGGGCACTGGGGAGCCACTGCAGGTTGGGAACCGACGGAGAGGGCCAGGCTTATACATTAGGGAGATCTTGATGCTCTGGAGGGGTGGGGCTGAGGCAGAAATTGGGGTGGGGGGGGTGGAAGGAGAGGAAAGGGGGAAAGAAGTGAGTAACAGGGGTGAGGAGGGAGAGAACAACCCAGATAATAGATTTCTTAGGATTTCTGTGGGGGGAGGGAAGGGAAGCACTTGAACATGATCCAAGAGCTGGGACAGGCAGTGGGTCTGTCCCTGAGGTGGATCTGGGGGCAGTAGGGGAAGACACTGCAGTCTACGTGGACCCTGGGGAAGGTGAGGTGCCAGGGATATCCGGGCTCGGCGTCCATGGGGTCTGAAGCAGGTCCTATCCCACCTCGCACCCACTTCCTGCTCTCCCATTCCCACGTAACCGGCTGTCAGAACCTCCCAGGATGGGGCCTTTTGTAGAAAAGCAGGTGAATTAAATGAGCCAATGCTCTCGCTGCAGAGCCTGGCTCAGGGAGTGTCGCTCTTGCTACAAACCCTGTATTTTTAGGAAGAAAGCAGCCAGTACCCATGGTCCGGGACCCAGCTAAGCACTCTATAGCCACGACCCCATTGCTTCTTCACAGCTGCTCCCAAGAGGCCTGGAATTTCTGTGCCCATTCTCCAGATGAGCAAACAGAAACCCCAAGAGGACAAGTAACTTGCCCCAGGTCCCCCTATTTGGAAGCGGCCCAGCCAGGCTGGGAACAAAGACTGTACCCACTGCCCAGCATCCCCATAATCCCCCCCCACCCTGGCTTGCTCACGTTCACACACACACCTACCCATGTAGTCATTCAGCAAACACTCTGAGCCCTACGTGTGGGTCAGCTACGGGTGGGTGGCTGGGGACACATGGAGAAGAACGCTTGGGGGACACAGCACAGAATAAGACAAACAAAACTCCAAGCATTTGATGCTCATGAGCAGGTCAGGGGACTATGAATCCTCACCTGATATTTGCTATTAATGTATAGTATATATCATATACATATATCAAATATATATATTATAACATATATATCTATAACATACTTTTTATATGTTATAATAAATATATATTTGCTGACCCTAAGGAAGTATGTTCCCTGTGTTAGGTATGAATGCGGCACTGTGGTTATGTTCATTTTAAAAAGGACTTCTTATCTTTTGGAGATGCAGGCTGAAGTGTTGATGAATGATGGCAGGATGTAGGGGATCTGGGGGCGAGGGTGGGGGGTAGGGGGGTGGAGGAAAGGTGAAACAGATTGGCCAGGCGTGGATAACTGGCTGGAGCTCGTCTGCCAAGAGGCCATTCTGTCATTCTGCCTACTTTGGTGTATGTTTGAAATTTTCCATAATAAAAAGTTATTTTAGAAACATTCCAACAAACCCTGCCCTTGAGAAGCTAACATTCCGGTGGGAGGAGCTAGTTGGGGGAGGGGGGGAAAAGAAAAAAAAAGCAAAGGCCATGGCAGAGTGCAGGTGTCCCTAAGTGCTTAGAGAAAAACATAGCAGGCAGGGCGGAAGGGAGTCTCCTCTCGGGACTTCTGTTTTACCTAGGGCGGTCGGAGGAGGGAGGAGGTCTGATCTGAGTCAAGGCTTGAAAGAGGGGAGAGGGGGAGCTATGTGGCTATGGCTGGGGGGGGGCGGAGAAGAGGGGCCCAAACCTAGAGATGAGCGAGTGCAGAGGGGCTGGACTGGGTCTGTCGTGTGAGGGAACAGCGAGGGGACTGGTAGGGCGGGAGTGGAGTAAGTGAGGAGGCAGATGGGAGGAGGTGAGGTCAGGGAGGGAAGGGTCAGACCATCCAGGGACTTGGGCTCCCCCCCCTCACCCACAAGGACTTTGGCTCTTGTTCTGAGTGATCTGAGATGTACAACATGTGGGTTGAGCGTGCATTGCAACTAGCACACACACAGCCCTGTCTCATTCCCAGGTACTCCCCCCTCCCTCCCCGAACACTCTCACCCACCTTCCACCGGACCCTGGCCTCCTCTGGGCACATGCAGGAGCCGGAGGTAAATAGGGCTCCAGGTCTAGGAGAGGCTGGGCAGGGATCTGGGTGGCCTCAGTGGGGAGGGGCTCCACCCAGTCCCCAAGGCCCCTTCTGCTGGTGGCTCTCCATCCTCCCCTTGACCATATCCTCCCCTCTCTTCCTTCCTGCACCCCCCTTTGCCCCCCCAAATAACCCAAATAGGCCATCACCCTCTACCCCCCTGCCCCCATGCCTGCTTCCTGAACACTGAGTCATAGCCTAAAATGAACTGCAGGTTGGCGGGGTGCCCCCTGTCCTAGCACCCCCACTCCATCCCACCAGCGCCCCGCCTCACTCACCTGAAGCTCCTGGAACAGCAGGTCAGCCAGGACTCGGTGGCAGAGCCGGGTCACACGGTCCAGCGCGCTGCCTGCTGCTTCCCGGGCCGGCTCACTTTCGGGGGGGCCCCACCCGGGCCAGGCGCTCCGCCAGAGCCCTGTGGGGATCAGAGGAGCCAAAAGTCAGGGACTGCCAATATTCAGCTCAACTGCCTGGACCCCTCTCCTGGCTTCAATGGACTCTATTTCGTTGGCACAGGGTTGACAGGTCAGATGGGGTTGCTGGGGGAAGTCAGGGGCTCTGGGGAGAGTCTGGAGGCTAAGCAACAGCAGGGGATGTCTGGGAGGCTGGGGGGGTGTGGAAGCCCCAAGGAATGGGATTCAAAACGTTTCTTTTTTTATTATTATTATTTTAAGTTTTTTTTTTAAATTAATTTATTTGACAGAGAGAGAAATCACAAGTAGGCAGAAGTAGGCAGATAGAGAGGGAGAAGCAGGCTCCCTGCTGAGCAGAGAGCCCGATGTAGGTAGGGCATGATCCCAGGACTCTGGGATCATGACCCGAGCCGAAGGCAGAGGCTTATACACTGAGCCACCCAGGCGCCCCATCAAAACATTTCTAATTCTAAAATCCTACCCTTCCCATTTCTCTCTCTCTCTCTTTTTAAGATTTTATTTATTTATTTGACACAGAGAAAGAGATCACAAGTAGGCAGAGAGGCAGGCAGAGAGAGAGGGGGAAGCAGGCTCCCCGCTGAGCAGAGAGCCCGATGGATGCAGGGCTGGATCCCAGGACCCTGGGATCATGACCTAAGCCGAAGGCAGAGGCTTTAACCCACTGAGCTACCCAAGCGCCCATCTTCTCATTTCTCTTAATGATGACCCTCCATCTCTGAAAGGACAGTAAGCTGGTCTGAGGGCAATTTGGCATTTTCTTTCCAAAATCCCAGCGGGCCCCCTTCTGGGTATGGGTCCCTGAGAGTCCCCACGTTTTTGGGAATTGACAAGTGAGACAGGTTTTTCCTCTGCCAAAGGGTGAAACCAACTGTCCATTCACTGGGGACAGTAAATATGTGCTGTTTGTAAACAGTGGAACACAGTTCAGGTTTTACAAGGAAATAAATGTGGGAACTCCACATGCTAACGGGAAAGTCTCCAGCCTGTTAAGGGGAAAGGCACAAAAATGTGTTCAGTAGTCTGCCATGTGTGGAGTTCTTTTTTAAAGGAAAAGGAAGACTATGTATGCACACAGTGAAATATATTTACTTGTGTATATATATGGAATATGCATATGAAATATGAAATATGTATATGAACGTGTACAGATATGCATATGCATGAAGTATGCAAATGCATGCATACACTTACTTACACATATTTACAGGTAAATATATCAAAAACCCCAGCAAAGATATGGCAGACCCTAGCAATAAGGATGGTGGGGAGCGTGTAGGAGGGAGGCTTTGCACTGTATGCCCTATTGTATCTCCAATTTTGAACCATGGAAATGCATTCCCGATTTGTCAAATGCATGAAAAATAAGTTAATAAAAAAGGAGAGTAAGATAAAAAGGCAAAAAAAAAAATCTAATTCCTAGAGTGTTTGAGTCTGGCTTCTGGGTTCCTATAATTAGAACACTCCAATGTTCTGATCGCTCCATAATTCTAGGGCTCTGTGATGCTGAGGTTCTTTCCAGGACTCCCTAGGGTTTTATGCTTCGAAGGCCCCATGTGCCTGTCGCTCTGGACCAGCTCTGGGATCCCCGCCTAGGAACTGGGCACCCCGGTTCAGCTGGTCGTGACCACTGGCCCTCTCCCCTATTGCACACACGCGCTGGGCGCTCTCACCTCAGTGGGGGCCCGCAATTGACCAGGGAGATGGTCCTGCTGACGTAAGTGTCAGGTAGCAGCTCGCGAACTCCCGGATTCTCGTGAAATCGTTCCACCCGCTGCTGGAAGCTGGTGACAGGAGAAGGGGAGGGCGCGTGACAGATGGAGCACTGCTGGAGGAGGGTCTCTTGCTGGGCGCTCAGCCCGGCAAAGCCTGGGATCCTCCCTGAGGCGCCCCTGCCAGTCCTGACTTGGTTCCCTTTCATCTCTCCTCTCTCTGTTGGATCCTGGGTACTGATGCCGCCCCCACCAGCCTTGCACCCCGGCACCACCCCCTGCACCGGGGCCCTCTGTACCTCTGCAGGAATTCTGCCAGCCCCCCCCAGGCAGCAGTGGGCCATCCGCTCCCCAAACTCCTGGCTGATGCGGGGTGCTCGCTCCGTGTGCTCCTCTAGCAGCTGTGTGGTCCATGGCAAGGAGAAGGGGTGAGGAGTGGGGAGGTCCTGCTTTCCCACCGGGGCACTGTTCCCGCTGATTCTCCTTCCTCTTCCCCACCCCCTACCTCGCACACATCCTGCGCCAGGCTGCTGGGCCGGTCCTCCATGCTTCCCCAGTGCTCCTCGTTCTCCTGCAGCACCCGAAGCAGGGCTGCGCGCGTCTGAGCCTGCAGTGGGAAGGTGGGGGGACAGGCAGGAGTCAGGGGCACCTGGGAGCCTCTCCCTTCTTTCCTCCCCTGCCCCAAGGTCCCCACACCTTAGCCCCAAGCATATCTCAGTTCTACTTGTGAGCTTGCAAAGATTAGGGGGAGGAGGGAGGCTGGACCAGAAAACCTCCCCAGAACCTTTGCATCCCTAGCCCCTGATTTGGAGCTTGATGTTAAGAGTCTGTAGTTTTGGGGCACCTGGGTGGTTCCGTCAGTTAAGCGTCTGCCTTCCACTCAGGTTGTGATCCTGGGATCCCTGCATAAGGCTCCCTGCTCAGCGGAGAGCCCGCTTCACCCTCTGCCCTCTCTCTCTTGTTCACCCTCTCTCTCTCTCTCAAATAAATAAATAAAATCTTAAATTAAAAAAAAAAGTCTGGAGTTTTAAGCTTCCTCCATCTGATAGCCAGAGTCTGAGGGTCTATTCTCTTATTATTTGATGGTCCCTAAGGCTCTGCTCCCCAGCTTCTACAAAACAATTTGTTCAAGAGTCAGATTCTGTGATGCCCAGTTCCAAGGGTCTGGGATTCTAAGATTTACGCGTCTCTGATTCTCTGGTCGCATGTTCCCTGTTCCCTTCAGAGAATCTGGGAATGTAGGTATGTCAGAGTCTAAGATTCTAGACTCGCAGGCTACAAAGGTTCGGACTTCTTTGGCTGAGGCAGGACTGGCAAATAGGTGGCCAGGCTGGGTGTTTGTGGCCGGACCATTCTGCCGACTGGTTATTAACCAGGCTGACTGTCTGCCCTGCCTGGGTGCAGAGATCGCACTGATGCTCTCCTTCCGGGGGTCTTTGGGACTGTGAGCCGAGCTTCTGTGACTGACGCTTCCTCTAAGATTTGAAGTATCTCAATGTATCGAAACTTTATTGCTGCTCTATTACGCCTGGCTGGGTGCTTGGGAGAACAGAGCTGAAGCTAAGACCAAAGTGATCCGTGTGGGCTTACCTTTCAGTGTCTTTGGGGCAGAACTCAGAATCCACAAAGGGAAAAGGGAAATGGGAGTAGGGAAAGGAGGAGAGGAGGGGCCCCCAACCCCAGTACAACCCTTCCCTCCCTGCAGAGTGCCTCCTGCTCCGAAGTCCCCCAGTACCTTAACGTCTGTGACGCATTCGTCCTCCAAGCCCCGCAGGGTGCCGGGAGACAGAAGGGGCCCCAGCTCCCCATTCTCTAGGGCTACCAAGTCCACCAGCCCTAGGACCTCTCTGGGAGTGGGAGACAAGAGACAGGGAGGTCTGTGAGAGGGGGATCTGGACAACGGAACCCCTCCACACCCAGTGTGCTCGTGACCCTGGGCCACTCCCTTCCTCTCTAGGGACCGGCTTTGCTCATCCCTCAAAGGAAGTCTCTGGAATGGTTGCTCCCCTGGCTCCAGCTCTCTGAGTCAGCTCCCTGATGAATGGTGTCCGGGTAAGACTTGCAGGGGTCAAGTCCAGGCTTGATGGTTTGGCACGCAAGATCTCAGCCATGATCAGCTTCACCAGACAGAAGTTCCCTTCCACCTCCGCTCCTTGTCCCCAGCACCTCACCTGGCCTTGGAGGCCTCCCCGGTCCAGCCCTCACTCCTCGCTCCTCAGCACACCCGGCCTGTGTGATACCATCCCTCTCCCTAGCCCCCCCCCCCCACCACCCATACACACCCCAAGCTTTGGCCCATGGCATCTTCTCAGACAGAAACATTATCTTCCTACTCCCACCCTCCCATTCCAGGAAGCTCTCCAGACTCCCTGTCCTGTCTCCCTCTCTCATAGATGGTGTGAGAGTGTCCTTAACACATATTCCTAGCGGGAATCTAGGAAGTCAATGTCACTAGCTGTTGCTTTCCCATTCTTCTAGTGACAACAGGATGACTCTGAGGAACCACCCACCCCACTCCCTTGCCGACATGTGGCTTGGGTGTGACCAGCTCCCCTTTCCCCGGACTGCGTAGGTGACCCAGTCATGGCTAATCATATTCCCTGCCCTACCCACAAAAATGGGTAGGTTTTAGGATCCAAAAAGCCTCCACAGTTTGAAGATTCTAGGACTGGGAACATCAAAGGTGCTGAGGTTCTAAGTGCTAAGGTTATAGAATTCAAGGGACCAGGAGCATTCCAGTCCTAACGCTGGAAGGATCCACAGTATCAAAGTTCTAGGCTCTAAAGAGGGGATGGGGCCAAGGTTTAGGATTTGAAGTCTCATTGGTGCTAAGGTTCTAGGATTGAAGGTGTCAACACTCCAGTTCTAAGACTGGAAGAATCAACAGGGCTAACGCCCTAGGATCTAAAGAGAGAGAGCCGTGTAAGGGTTCTAGAATTCTGAGGGTCAACTATGCCAAGATTTTAAGAATGCTGGTGCTAAGGTTTTAGTATTTAAGAATCAGTGGTGTTAAGGTACTAGGACTGGAAGGTTTAATAGTATGAACATTCTAGGTTAAGAACCATCAACAGTGCTAAATTCTAGGACCAGAAGGGTGAACGGTACTGGGATTCTAATAGTATATATGTCAATGATGGGAAGGTTCTAGGCCTGGAGGGGGTCCAAGCACTGAGCTTCTAGAACTGAATGGGCCATTGGTGTTAATAGAGTCTAAGTCTGGAAGACTGGGAGGTGTTAAGGTTCTAAGACTGGAGGGGTCAATGATCAATGTTGATAAGATTCTGGGAGTCTAACTGTCAATGATGTGAAGGTTCTAGGGCTGGAAGTGTCCATGGTGCTAAGATTTTAAGAATGGAAAGATGACAATGCCAGGCTTCTAGAAGAAGGATCCACGATGCTTAGATTCTAGGACTGGAAAGGTGACCAGCGCTATGGTTCCAAGGGTAGGAGTGTTGGGATGCTGCGCTCCTTGGGCTGGAGGTGTGGAGGTTTTAGAAGTAGAAGGACTGATATCGCTAAGGTTCTAGGGGGGAAGGGTTGACAGCGCCCAGATGCGCGGATTGTCAACGTCGCGGTGCGGAGGACTGGAAGGATCCCTGTGTTAAAGGATGCAGGAGTGCAATGGTACTGAGTTCTAAGACAGAAAAGGTCCACAGTGCTAAGGTTCTAGGGGTGTAAGTGTCCACCATGCAAAGGTTCTAGATCTGGACGAATCACCAGTGCCGCGATTCCAGGACTGGGAGCGGGTGGGGGCCGAGCTACACGTCCAAGGGCGGAAGTGGGGCTGAGGCTGAGGTCCGCGGCACTAAGGCTCTCAGACTACAGGGTGCCGAGATTTTAGAACCCGAAGGCCCTATGTCGCTAAGGTTCTAGCACTGGGAGGGTGGACAGCGCTCGGAGGCGCGGATTGTCCATGTCACCCCTGCCGAGGACCGGGAGGGTCAACGGTTTTAGGATTCTAGGACGGAAGAGTCAGCGGTTCCAAGGTCCTTGGCAAGTGAAGAGGCCAGGGTTGAGGGAGCGTGTGTTGGGGGGGGGCGGGGGGTAGGTTTGGGCGACCCTGGGGCGGCCGGCCCCGCCTCACCTGGGGTACACCTGGTTGTGCCAGTGCAGCAGCGCGTAGCGGTCGGTCAGCGGCAGCCTCCGGCGGGCGGCGGCCCCGAGCCACTCGGCCAGCGCGCCGTGGTAGCCGCGCAGGTAGACGCCGAAGGCGCCCAGGCCCGCGGGGTAGGCGGGCGCCAGGCGGCCCCGCACCACGCCCATGTCCTCCAGCAGCCGCGCCCGCAGCGCCTCCAGCTGCCCCGCCAGGCCCCCCGGCGCCCCGGGCGCCGCCGCCTCCAGGCGCTCCCGCGCCGCGCGCCCCACCGCCTCGGCCCAGCGGGCGCGCAGCTTGCGGGCGGCCCCCGGCCCCCGGCGCCCGTCGGCCGCCTCCTCCTGCAGCAGCACCTGGCCCAGCTGCGCCACGGCGCCCGCCCCGGCGCCCGCGCCCGGCCCGGGGCCCGCCAGCGTCTCGCGCACCAGCGCCCAGAGCTCGCGCTGCAGGGCCTCGTACAGCAGCGCCACGTCCCGCGCCCGGCGGCCCCCGCCTGCGCCCTCGGCCCCGGGCGGCCCGGGCGCGCCGCCGCCCCCCGACGACGCCAGCTCCTCGGCCTCCAGCTCCAAGATGTGCTCGTCGGCCCGCGCGAGCTCGCGCTGCTGAATCAGGCTCAGGATCTCCAGCACTGTGGGGGCAGAGCGGGAGGTCAGGGGGAGGGAACCCGGCCGGCAGGCTGGGGGAGGAGGGGGTGTAGGGAGGGGGAGATGACGGGCCTAGAAGGGAGTCCTGCAACGTTCCAGGAGAACGAGTTGAGGGAAGGGAGTCGGGAGAGGGAGGCGGGGGCAGGTTGAGGGAGGAAGGAGGGAGATGGCTAGGACCTGGGGGAGAGGACTGGAGATGGTTAGGGATGGACAGAGGAGGGTGGGCGATGGGATAGGTGTCCGGATAAGGGAAGTAGGTCAAAGGACCAGAGTAGCATCAGGAGACTAAGAAGAGGGTGGGAGGGGGAGGAGGATGGGGAGTAGTCTGGCCAGTTGGGGGTAAGGGATTGAGGCAGAAGGGAGGGGGTGGGGGGGGGGGGGGAGAGGATGTTGGTGAGTAGCTTATGATATAGGAAGGGGTCAGGATACTTGAGGGGCAAGGACAGGAAAAGGGCATCAGACCTAGAGAAAGGGATCTGGGCAATGGGAGGGTTGGGGGAAGGTGAGTCCGAGCCAGGTAGGGGGAGAGGGTGGAGAGAAGCAGTGGATCAGAAGGGCAGAGTGGAGGCTTGGAGGTGGGGAGAGGTTAGCAAGACCAGTGATGGGGTCTTCTGGCGGATGGGATAGCTGTGGGGGTGACCTAAGACTCCCCCAAGAGCCAGCCCCATGGGGTTGGGAGGCCTTTGAGTGAAGGCAAAGGGAGGGTCCCGGTGGCCCAGGGTTACCCCCGACACCTCCACCCCCCTCCACTTCCTCCCTGGCAGAAAAACTGTTTCCCGGCCAGCGCTATTTCTGCCCATCTGTTTCCAGAAGGCGGGGGCTCCAGTCACCCCCTCGTCACCTCCCTGAAGTGCCCTCCCAGTCCCCAGGGAGCCAGGCCTGAAATAGCCTCTCACCAGGACCTAGAGGGTGCACGGAAAGGGCTCTCCTGAGGTCCCCAGTGCTGAGGCTGCTTGCCTGGGGGGAGGCCTGGGAGTGAGAATGAAGGTGGGGGCAGACCCAGGGTTGGGGGCCTCTGGGATGGGACTGAGATGGGACTGAGGGAAGGGATGAGGGTGAGGTTGGGGTGACATCTACAGAGGGGACAGGAAAGGAGTTGCGAATGACATCTGGGGTTTGGGGGGGGGTGTGGAGAGGAGGGTGGATTTATGTGATCATTGAGCAGGAAAAGAAGGTGGAGATGGATGTGAGTTTGAAGATGAAATTTGGGCTTGAACTGGGACCAAGAACGTGGGCGGAGGTTGGGAATGGGAGGTTTGGATGGGGACTCCAGGTTGGGGTGGAGATGGGATTAAGAATGAAGGGGGAGGCTAGCTTGGGGTTGGGTTGAAGGTGGGTGCTGAGATGGGCCGGGGCTGGGGGTTGGGCGGGAGACTAAATCAGGGACCCCGTTGCAGCTGTAGGCGGGACAGCAACGGCCCGGTGGGCAGGCAGTTGTCCTGGCGTTAGGCACAGGGATGGTAAAGATGGTGTTTGGACAGAGGGATGGGTTGGGGTAAGCACGTGGATGTGTCCCAAGGTGGAGATGGCTGATGGGGTTGGAATAAGTGTGGGGTGGAAACCAAAAGGGCATTGAAGAAGACACTGGGGGTACAAACAGGGGTGGTGTCTTGAGTTGAACCGCGTCCCCCCCCAACGAAGAAAAAAGATGTGTGAAGTCCTAACCCCCCTCCCCATATCTCCGAATGGGGACCTTATCTGGAGACGGGTTCTTTATAGAGAGATCAAGTTAAAATGAGGTCATAGGGGGACCTCCAAGCCAGTGTGACTGGTGTTCTTATACAAAGGGGAGATTTGGACACAGAAACAGATACACACAGAAGAGAGATGCTGTGAGGTCACAGCGAGAAGGCCCCATGGCGACGAAGGAACAGGAGTGGGGTGATCACAAGGTAGGGAACCCCCAGGTTGTCTGGCAGAGCTTTAGGTACAGTAAGAGGAGGAAGGACTCTCCTTTGAGTTTCTGAGCGTGTGTGGACCCACCGCAACACCTTGATTTCTGACTTCTAGCCCCCAGAACTGAGAGGCTAGATCTCAACAGTTTCAGCCACCCGGTTTGTGGGACTTGCTGACTGCGGCGGCCCTGGGAACCGAACACGGGCCTTGGGGGATGCAGTCTGCAGATGCGGGTGGAAGGTAGGCACTAGGCATCGTGGTGAGTTTGAGATGAAGCTTGAACATGAGTTGAGGTAGGGATGAAGTTGAAGGTGGAGGCTGGGGTTTGGGACTGGGATGGATTTAGGGTTGGGGTTCAAAGTGGGATGGAGAAGGAGAAGAGATTGGGGGTGAAGGAGGAGATTGAGGTGGGCGTGGGGGTCTGAGGCCAGGGTTGGGGCTGGGGATGGGAAGTGGGTGGGGTATGGTATGGAGGTTAGGGAGGGGCAGAAGGTCAAGTTTGGAGATGGACGGGAGGTTAAATTTGGAAGGGATTGGGAGGGGATGGGACCAAAGTTGGTGATTCGCTTATCACAGGACATGGGGGTGAGGTCGAAGCTGGTGGTGGGTAGTGAGTGGGATGGATTGGGGGTGGGTGTGGAGACAGAGCTGGAGCCTGGGCTCGGTGATGGGGCTGGGGACTGCAGAGGGCGAACTGGTATCCTACATGGGGGTGGGCAGAAGTTGGAGAAGTGAATGGAGATAGGGTCACAGGTGGAGGCCAGGTCTGAGCAGGGGTTCCCGACTCACCTGACAGAGGCTCCTTCATCTTTGGGGGCTCAGGGACCTTGGGAGGGGGCTCAGGGGCCGCCTCGCCGGCGGGCACCACCCTCTCGGCCAGAGATGCACGACGGGGCTTGGGTCCGCGTCCCAGTCTCAGGAAGGCCAGTCTCCGGGCAGCCTCCCCAGCCGCCTCCTCGTCGCCCTGGGCTCGGGTCCCCTGAAGCCTGGCCAGGAGGCCAAAGTCTGCCGAGCTCCTGCGTATCCCTGGTGTCAGCACGCGGCCCAGGAAGGAGCGGGGCTGCCCATCTCCAGGGCTGCCTGCCCGCCGGCCAGGGGTCCAGCCCAGCCGGAAGGGGGCCAGGCCAGCCAGCTTCTCCAGGGTGGCGCGGCGGCGACAAGATGTTCCGTTGGGCAGGGTCCCCAGCTCCCCAACCTCCTCTTCTTCCAATCCTGGAACTTCCTCAAAAGGGTTCCGAGAGGACCTCAGGGGCAGGGTCCCCGCCCGGGGCACTTTAGTGTCGGCCACCCCTAGATTCTTCAGGATGGGCATTTTGACAGGCGGGGACCTGGGGAAAACATAACAGACCCTCAGAGGGATTGACAGCAGTGGGGGGGGTGTTGGTGATTGGTAATCCTGCCTCTGCATGCGGAGCCTGGTCTGAGCACTTGCCGACCCCATGAGGTTAGTGCTATTATGATGCCCGTTCTGCGGATGACAGCCCCACAGTGACTCAGTGACTCAGCATTTGGACCCAGACCTATTGATTCTGGGGCTGGAGTTCTTTGCCTCTACGCCGAGCACTGGCATTCCACCCTTTCCCTGCCTGGAGGCTTCATCATCTTTGTGGACCCTCCCACCCCATGAAGAAATAGACTCAGAGAGGGGAAGTGTCTTTCCCAAACTGGCACAGCCCATGAAGGGCACAGGCTGCCTAGGGACTCAGGCTCCACCATCTCCCCAGACGGCCAGTCACACACATGGGCACCCGCCTCGTCTCCCCTGTCCCACCAGCACACCTGTCCGCTCTACCCCACCCTGTTCACTCCTTGAGGAAAACCTTCCTGGGAAATGTCCAGAACAGGCAAATCTGTAGAGCTAGAAAGGAGATGAGCATGAGCGGGGGCCAGGGGCTGGGAGAGGGGGGCTGGGGAGTGACTGCTTAATGGGTACAGGTTTCCTTTTCACAAGCGAAAATGTTCCAGAGGTACATAGTGCTTGACAATATTGTGAATGCACCAGGTGCCCCTGAATTGTATGCTTTAAAGTGGTTCATATGGTGAATTTTATATTATGCATATTTTACTACCCTTCCCCCTGCCAAAAAAAGAAAATTACTGGGTATTTGCCGGGTGAAGGCAGTGGGGACACAGTGGTGGCCAAGGTAGACCCAGTTCTTCCCTCTTGGGGCTTGAAATCTCCCAAGATCTGCTCATCCCACCTCCTAAGTCCCTCATCTCCAACTCTCTCCATGGCCCCTTGCCCCAGTCCAAGCACCCTCTGCCCTCTAGCTTCCCCACTTCCTCCCTGGTCTTTGGGGTCCTGTCCTGCCCCACCTCAGCCCACCTTTGAGGTCCTTGTTAAAGCATAAACCTGCTCCCTATCCTTCTCTTCACTTTGCATGGCTCCTCAGTGCCTGTGGGACAAAATTCAGCTGCCCTCACCTGCCAGCTGTGCCCTCACCAGTGCTATCCCACATTCTCCTCCTCCTTGCTCTGGGCTCCTCCAGGTGTCAGCATTTGTGTAGATTCTTCTACGGGGAAACCTGTTCTCCCCGCTTTGGGACCCAGCTCCAAAGTCCCCTCCTCCAGGAAGCCCTCCCTGATGCCCAGGCTGAGTCAAGTCGGCCCCCTCAGGATTTCTCCCATCC